GAGGCCCGCATAACGCAAAAAAAAAAAAAAAAAAAAAGGAATAAGAAAACATGCCAAAAGCAAGTTCCTTCTTTTAATTCTTAAAAAGGTGTGGGTTATCTTCTGTTTACTCCCTCCCTCAGGCCTGCCCACCTCTTTCTCAAGGAATTCATTCCAGATGTGTGCTCGGCCAGGTACATGTCTGACAAAAGACTTTTTCAAAACCACGTCTGTTGGAGCAAACAGATCTCCCCCAAACCTCCAAGCTGCTGCCTCTGCTCTGCCACGCAAACAGCACAAACCTCTTCTGCTCTGTCCAAATTCTGTTTCCCTCAACAAGCAAAAGAAATTTTCTCAAGAGTTTACCGGAAGTCACTTGCAGTGTCAGGCTTGCAAACGCTCAAAAGCATTAAAAAAGTCTACCACGTAATCCTCCAGGCACATACCAACCCACTGCCAACATTATTGCTGAAAATCCTCCGTATCAAACCCCTCCATAAATCACACCCCAAGAGCCCGCCATGTGGCTATGGCTGGGCTTGGGGCTCCAGCGCTAGCGCACAGGGGGCGGCGGGGGGACCTGGACCCACTGCGCGGCTGCATTCCTCCAGAGCCACGGGATTTTAACCTCTTCTCCACTTCCGGTCACCTGCACTAAGTTCTTGCTCTTACTTCGACTATTAATCCCACCCCAGGCATCACGGTGACTATAAAGCAGTAAACTGAAAACTAAGATGCGAATAGAATCCAGGAGCAGATCCCTCCTCTTCAGCCCCGGTCCGCAAGCCCCAACGCCAGTCCCACTGCCCCCAGATAAATCCACGTTCCTTCGACCCCACAGAACCTGTGAACCCTTCCCGGCACGTGCTCTGAGCCTGTGCTGCTCTCACACTGTGCACGCACCACCTTCTGGAAGGCTTTCAAAAACCCTATCTGACAGGGGGGCAGACAGAGACGCGGTGAGAACGGTGCCCTTTGCCTGAAGTCTGACAGTTTGATATGCTGGGGCCAGGAATCAACCCCAGGCAGTCTGATTCCAGAAGGCAGTGGCTGACCGTGTTTGAGGGTGTCCCCAGGAGCTGCCGTCAGCTCGCTTCCACTGTTCCCACTACAAGCATGGTTCCCCAGAGTGACGGCTCCGGGCGAATCATTCAGCCTCCCCGAGGGCAGGGTCTTCCGTGATGCCGCTTCTAGCACACTGCCCAGACATATTCCAAGACCATCATTTAATGATAGCCGGCAGGTGGTGTTACAAATTCTCCCCACACATGGGCTTCCCTGGTGGCGCAGTGGTAAACAATCCGCCTGCCAAGACAGGGGACACGGGTTTGAGCCCTGGTCCGGGAAGATCCCACATGCTGTGGAGCAACTAAGCCCGTGTGCCACAACTACTGAGCCCATGTGCCACAACTACTGAGCCTGCGCTCTGGAGCCCACGGGCCACAACTACTGAGCCCACGTGCCACAACTACTGAGCCTGAGCTCTAGAGCCCGTGAGCCACAACTACTGAGCCCATGTGCCACAACTACTGAGCCTGCGCTCTGGAGCCCACGGGCCACAACTACTGAGCCCACGTGCCACAACTACTGAGCCTGAGCTCTAGAGCCCGTGAGCCACAACTACTGAGCCCATGTGCCACAACTACTGAGCCTGTGCTCTGGAGCCCACGAGCCACAACTACTGAAGCCCGCGCACCTAGAGCCCGTGCTCCGCAACAAAGAGTAGCCTCCGCTCGCCGCACCTAGAGAAAGACTGCGCACAGCAATGAAGACCCAACGCAGCCAAAAATAAAATAAATGAGATAAATAAATTTATTAAAATAAATTAATTAATTAATTCTCCCCACACAAACAAGCCCAAGACTTCATCTAGAAAACTTACACTGACTATGAACTGGGAATCAGCCCTGGAGGGCCCTTCTTCCCTCACTTCAGACTAAAGAGACTGTGGACCACAAGAGAGGCCCACGTGCTCTGCTGGTATTTAACTCACAGGCCATCACTTTAGTCCCTCTGCAGTTGCAAAGGCAGGAGCAGGAACAGGTAAGGTTTAGGTCAGAACTCCCTTTTCCCTAAGAACTGGTGTTAACTAGTGCTGGGAGAGAGCTCTGTGGGGAAGGAGGCAGGTGAGGCCCGCCCCCAGGCACCTCTGGTCACCCGGTGAGTAAGCAGATAAACTCTACTCACCATCGTGCTCAAACTGCTTCTTGCTCAGAGCACAGAAAACCACTGGCATAAACAACTGGTGTTCAGTAGCATCACCCAAGTGAAAAGACATCTCAACCAGTAACCGTCTCAAGTACTTAAGCGCATGCCATACTCACTGTGAGGTTTTCCAATTCTAGTTGTCGTACTGTGTAATATGACTTAATATCTTCAGAGATCAATGTCAATTTCAAATTTGTGTCTTCAAAGATCATTTCTTCTTCTTCTTTTTGTGGCCAGTACTGTGCACATTTTAACTAGGGGAGAAAATAACATTGAATTATCGTGAGCAACTGACTGTCTTCCTACAGAGGTCTGAAGTACCGTCCACGAGCTTTATGATAACCCGAAGACCCAGGGTTCTCTGACCTTGGAGGTCGCCATCGATGTAACCTGCCTGCCTCCAGAGGAGATGGGGAGAGGTCTGTGAAGATCTAGACCAGGACTAGTCGGGCAGACAGGACTTGCACTTCCAAACCCAGCTGCCCCGGTTTTCCACACAGCGAAGTGTTCCAGGGGTCTGATCCTCTCCCTGTCACCCATGAAGGAAGCCAGATGGCACACAAGGTCTAGTCTCTCATGAACTACTTTATGTAGCCATTTCAAAGGTTATCAAGACCCTGATGGGTGCTCTCGGCATAGCGCAGACTCCTTACCCTGGGGACGATAACCAAGACTAGAAGAGACCACATGAAACACCGTAAAAAGCTTGAAGGGCTGTAATCAAATGCAAACCAGAATCAAGAAGGTTTGCAGAGGGGTCCTCCAAGGCTGGGGATCACCCACTGCCCCACCCCACCCTTTCATTCTGGTTTGGTTCACTTCAGAAAAATCCCTTGTTGTAGTTAAAAAATTTTAGAAACTACTCGATGCTCTTGATTTAAACGTAGCTCATTAACATTTTCCTTAAAGCAAGCAAACTCCCAAAGATTTGGTTTCATTTAGAGTTCAAGAAAGAAAATCTGAGTCAAATTTAGTGGCATGCTTTGCTTGAGCCAAGTTTCTATGCCAGACATTTCTGGTTGCTGATGACTGTTCTGGATAAGAACAGCAGGTAGATGGGGGCTAAGCTGCCAGGTCCATAAGCCAGAGGAACCGACATGTCCCCAGACAGAGGGACCCTCAAAGGTGGTATGACTTCCAGCAAATGAAATATCAGTGTGTGTAAACAGCTCTTTGGGAAATGGTACAAGTTCAAGACCCTAATAATTCAACATGCACTGACTCAGAGGAGCCAGGAGGCTCTTGAAGAGGCTGAAGACAGAACAACAAAAGCCCATTGGTCCTGCTTTAATGAAAACCAAAGCAACAGAAAAAAGGGAGGGAAACAAATTAAGAAACACCACACTGAGATGCCAACACAGCATCAAACTTTATGGTTCCCGAACAGAAGGCCAATAAGAGCCTGGACACTGGCCTGTTTTAAAGTTTTGGCCAGTTTCACCCTCCCTGCACCAATGATGAGTGCCAAAGATGAACCCCTGGAACAGAGCCCATCTGTCAGCACCAAAGAGATCCTGCCACTCAGGACACAGAAGCATCAATGGCATGGCACGAGCCCATGCTTAGCCAAAGTGGGCGAGAGGCAGATGACAGCAAGACTTCAGGAGACGCTTAAAGGATGCATTCATTCCCACACTTCAAATCATTAGACCTGTGTAATGCCTTGAGACTCCAGAAACAGACTGCCCTGGTAGGTCCAAAACCACGTGTGCTGGAGTGGGCACCCAATTCAGTGAGCAGACCAAGAGTAAAGCGAAGCAGCAGAAATGCAGAATGGCGAGTTGCTACCAAAGAAGAGGCCAATGTTTTCATGCCTCATGGGCGGGAAAGGCAAGTCTTTTCAACGTCATGTCCACACAGCAAGCACTCACTTTCAAAAGCAAATATAAAGCCTTACAAATCTCTGTAATCTGGGTAAAGAGCAAGACTTTGGACCTCTACAGCTGAGGAATTCTGGCACACACTAAGTGTCAATACTTATTTAAAAAATAGGAGATCTTAAAAGAACTCTTAGGCATCTACAGCAACATGCCACGGGCTGCTCTCTGTCATTTCCTGTAAACATATGCAACAAAACAAGCACAATATCAACTACTTCCTGCTATCCTATTTAGTTCATACACAGTGACTGGAAGAGGTGATTTATTTTATTACAAAGCAGCCCTTCTTCAGGGTTAAAATTGAGGCATGTCTTGGGTTGGCACCAAACAGCCACGTGGCAGTGCCAAAGTGCTGGCATCTGTCATACCTGCTGTTACCACCATGAAGGCGGTGTGAGAGAGTCCTTGCTTGGGTCCATCTAAAACAAAGAGCTACGCCATCTTGAGAAAAATCCATGAAAGTCATCGGGGGTGACCCTGTGATGGGTGATTTGGCTGAAAGAAGAATGAACACAGAGAACTAAAAGCAGAGTACGAGGGAGATGCACAAAGCCTAAAGCACCTATGGTACAAAACCTAGTATCTCAGGCCTGAAAGCACTTGAAATCAAACAGCATCTTTAGTAGGGACTTCAGGGCAGAGACATGGGCAATGTTTCTGGTTGAACATGGCCTTGCTACCTCCCCTGCCTAGACAATAAGCCCGGCCCCGATACACACGCACTCTATCCCATCATGTCTAAACTCAGCTTTTAAACTGAATGAATGAGAACTTTGGCCATTTGGATGACCTTAGTCTAACACACACAATCATTTTCTGCACAATGGTTTTCCAGGAAGCACAGGGTCCCAAAAGGGTAACGGGCAGGTCTGCCAAAAATACAGGGAGGACATCTACCACTGTTTGGCGAAAGAAGGAAACCAGAAAACAAATATTCATTATATGGAAACGCTCTGCAAGCTGGTTTTCACCACGGGCTGTGTGGAGAAGTTATAATTAGATTAGTTGAGCAAACAAGACACTGCAATTTCTTATAATTTTCCCCAGTCAGCCCTTATGGGGTGATAACATTGAGGCTGAATTAAAAATGTTTATCCCAAGGAAACTTTAAGGACCATAAACCATACGTTGCTTTCCATGCCAATCTGCAGGCCCAAAAGACCCACAGTAAACAGAAGAGCTGCAAAGGAAAAGAGGGACTACTGTCACATCATCACAGGAAACTACAATAAAAGCCAACTGGTTTTTTTTGTTGTTGGTTTTTTTTTAATGGCCAACATAGCAGTCCAAGGGGAAAGCCTGTCACAGTGGATCTGTGGTCCATTTACGGTCGGCCTTGGGTGGGCGACAACCAAGAGCAGGGCCTGGTGACGAACATGTGACTGCAGTACAGGGACACCACTCCTTGTGTCCTGTGGCAACAGTAGCTAAAGCAAAGCGCATGCAAATAGCAAAGAGGTTTCACCTGAACTTTTAGTAACAAATAAAAGGCAAATGCTACCATATCTGATGATTTTAAAATAAATAAGTCACGATTTAAAATTCTCAACCCTCCATACGACTACAGAGTGTTTCTCAACTGAGGGCAATTCTGCCTCCCAGGGGACACTGGACAATGTCTGGGGACATTTCTGATGGCTTCAACCTGGGGTGGGGGTGATACTGGCATCCAGTGGGCAGAGACCAGGGATCCTGCTAAACACCCTCCAACGCACAGGCTGGCCCCCCAAGACAGAGAGCGATCCGGCCCAAACGTCAGCAGCGATGAGGCTGGAAGACCCCAAAGGGTCATCTGTGCTCAGCACCTGCACCGGCCACCGTGTTTCACTTCCCCTTGAGGAGTGCGTGTATTGCGGGGAACCTCGTGTTTTGTTTCTTTACTCAAAACTGCTGACAAGAGTGGTGATGGGTGAGGGTTTGCTTCACATTTGCAACTTCACATTTTATTAATCAAGCCACTGCAGAGAAAATCAAAAACCACTCTCACTGTAAACATTTTTTTCGAAGACAAGAAGCATTACTGCATCAACTGAACACTCAGGTAAGCTATTTACACCTGTGACTGTGGAGCGAATAAATACTCTCTTTCAAGAAAAGGAGGCAGAGGCAAAAATATGATTTTAAACATGTGCCGTCGTACGAAGGCCATTTGTTGTAACCAAGACCGTTCCTTTCCGGGTGGGGGAGGGAAGAGGCTTTGTGGCGAGTGCTTTACTGCTTTAGGTTTTCACCGCTCACGTTTCCTTTGATGTGTTACTTCTTTGCACTTGTATTTTTTCCCTTTAGGGCCACGACTGTGCTTTCTTCAGAGGGGTGGCGTCTCCGGAGCCTTCATGTTCTCCTGGCAAGCCACGGCTGCATCCTGAAGCAGCCAGGACAGCTGCGACAGCAGTGCCCCCACTGAGCCCCAGAGAACACAGTGCCAGCACCTGGCTGGGCCAGGGCCACACGCTCCTCCTGGTCTCCGTGCTCCTCAACCCACCTCCTCCCGGGGCCTCCACCTCGGAGGCTGTGGAGCCCCGGCAGTGCTGGTGCTGGCCGCGAGTGTCTGGTGCTGGCCGCGAGTGTCTGGTGCTGGCCGTGAGTGTCGCGGGAAGCGGGCGGGAGCCAGGGGGGCGGGAATACAGCATCTATTCCCTACTTCAAAGACGTGTGGAGAGGGAGAGCACAGCCACCGCGGCCCCGAGGGAAGCAACGTGGGATGCCGGGAAGTGGGGCGAGTGTGATTCGGATCATTAGCCCAGAGAACTGGCAACAAACTTAAAAAAAAGAACAATTTAATAAAATAAATAAACGTTTGTCCTGGCTGGAGTCTGGAGACGGAAGGTGGGGCTGGGGGGGTCCAGGTTAACTAGGGCCCAACCATACCCGGTCCAGTAGCCACATTATGCATATCCTGGGAGGCAGGGGGAGCCCCAGAAGGGTTTCAGCTGTGAAGAGGTGTGGTGAGACTTGCTTTAGAAAGATCATTCGGGATATAGGACGCAGGAGAGACTGAGGAGAGCTGTCGAGGGGCGGGAGGTGGCCTGAACAAACGCACACCTCGAGTCCACGTTGCAAAGAACTTGGAAGAAAGGAACACACACCCTGAAGTGAAGCACAAGCAGACAATGTCCACATTAAAGAGGTGTGGCCAGGAGCCAAGCGTCTGGGGATTTTACGGAGGCGAACCCAGGGTCCAGCTGCTCCCACAGCTCAGGTGTGGAGAGGCACGCTTTTACCAGCCAGAAAAAGCAAATATGATGAAGATACAGTAGGAACTTGCTTTTCAAAATAAAACTCTGCTTACACAGCTCCACAAGGCAAGCACAGCAGCACACGAAGTAGGAGAGAGACTGAGAGGTGAGAGGAAAGCAGGACACACGCATCACACACTGGAGAGACTGACTGATGGGGGCAGGGTGGAGAATAGGTCAAGGGCAGTTTGACTTGTTTCCCTCTTTTAAATTCACCTACGTATCTGACTTGTTTACAATAAACATGTATTTGTATACTGCTTCTTTATGTTTTTCTAATAGAAATAGAAAAGCAACTCAAGGAAATAAACACGGACAGATGTCGACTTTGTGGACTGGCATCCACACGGGCAGCGATGCAAACAGTGGATCAATCTATGACTTACCGAGCCTTTCTCCATCACTCTGTTGAGCATGACAACGCCCCTGCTTTTCTGCTCCCACACCATCTCCCAAAAGTGACCGCAGGTATTGGGCAAAGGGCCCTGCAAACACACAATGCACAGTGTATGCATTTTACACACAAACACGTTCCAGTGCAAGCTCACTACTGGCGGTGAGTGGATGACAGGGCCCTCAGGCAGTGTGGTGGCCATGGCTGGGACAGGGACCCGCTTCTCCCTGCCTAGTGGTAACCACAATTCTATTTCCTACCACGCGGTGAAAGGTCATTTCTGCACCTCAGGGCTGGTTCAGAGCTGAGCGATGGAGGAGAGAAAACACAGACTCTGCTTTCTGGTGTGGGCTGGCCAGCTGAGGGGCTCCACTGAGAACCATGCCTTAGGGCGGGTGGTACAGCGAATAAAACTGGCCGCAGGAGAGAGGCAGTGTGGGGAAGGGGTCACAAGGACGCTTCTGACGGCTTGGTCCCAGCTCCAATCACTTACTATCTGTGTGACCTCGGACAAGTCACCCCACCTCTCCTTGCCTCAATTTCTCCACCTATTCACAGGGTTGTGAAGATTAACTATGTTCATATATCAATACTTATTATGCCTTATCACAGTACCTGGAATACAGTAAACACCCAATAAAATGTACCATTATTACTATTAATAATGGTTAACCTGACCACAGACAGCCTTCATCCTTGGACCAAGGAACATGAGATGTGGACACACAAATGGTCAGGCGGGTGGCCCAAAGGGTATGGTGTCACCGGGGCATGGGGGGGTAGGGGTGCCTGCTGAGCAGCGAGGCCTGTCTCACTCCAGCCCCCCTGGCAATGGGCACAGATGTTTACTGGATACAGGGTATGAATGCTTCGAGTTTGCCTCAATTTTTAGTGCTGCCTGGAAGGGACATCACCTATCACCTGCACGACACAGCATGTCACCTCCTCTGGCCAGCACCACTTCTAAAATGGTTTCCATTCACTTTCATCCAAAATCTCCTCAGTCTTTACATCTTTTCCCTTTAAGTCTCACCGCGCTTTCCTCGACCACGGAGCCCTCAGTGCCCTCTCGCTTCCTTCCCTGAACTTAGCTGGGATTTGCTGCCTAAACCTGACAAATCCTGGCTCCTTAGAGTCTCAGACAATAGCGGATTCCACGGTAACCTCTTCCAGCCAACTGACAGAAAAACGGCTCCAGGAAGGTAGGAATCAGGGGTCCCATGGCTGGGCACGAGGACCCTATTGCCAGGTCCCCATAGCGGTGGCTCTTGTTACTCCCTTGCCCCCATACTTCACCCCAGTTTAGAATGGGTCTGAGGGATTAAAAATCCCGTAAGATCTGAAAGGATACACGCCAAACTCAGCCAACACTTGAAGATGGACATGAAGGCCAGCATCTGTGACATTATTCTCTACACTTTAAAAAAATGAGACTATAGCCTTGCATTATTTGCATAATGAACAACATAAAAATTAAAAATGGGCAGGGTTTTTTCAGTTTTGTGGCTTGGAAAATATTTCAGTCATATTGTCTAGGGATGTAACTTTGGGGTCAGGCTGCTTCAATCCCATATGTAAAGCTCAGGGCAGAGGGAGACCATGTAAGCAGTTGGATATAACCATGGTACAACCTGACAAACAGACAGACCTTCAGATGTGCCAAGGAAGCGCTAGGGCATGGGGGTGGGGAGGACGGCGGTGTAGAAGTTTCCATGGTGATTTCCTAATGCTCCATGTGACTTTACAGACCCTATCTTTGCTTTGGGCTTCCTGACCCCACACCAAAGCTGAATGGCTGAAATTAGGAAGTAAGAAACTTGACTACTTCTAAAAAGAGAAGCTCCCAAGAAGCCACTTTTGCCTCAACCTCTTCCCACCAGCCTGCCACCACCAAGGTCTCACTCCTTCTCATCCCCACCCCAGAGGTGCTGGGAGGACCATGTGTTGAGGGCCCGGGGACTGACGTTCCATACACTGACTGCGGGGCAGTAGGGCCAACTGTGGTCACACGCGGAAAGGAACTGGGACAGGACAAAAGGGACAGGCAAGAAGGGCCACCAGGGATACGCCCTGCCCCAAAGCAGACTTTGTTCACCGCACTTTCTGGCTTCATTGTCATTTTAGTCTCCGAATATTAAGCACAGTTATGACGTTCACAATCACCCTATAACGCAAACCCAATATACTACTGATAAAAACTGATACGCAATGAAAAAACAAAAATTAGGATTAAAAAAAGAGAGAGAAACTTAGACTGTTTAGACCAATTTACAGGTAACAGATTAAGACGTGAGAAAATTACTTAAAAAGAAACTCCTTTATCCCCTTTCCCAGATACCCATGTCCTTTGGGTCATACACCAGTACGTGTTTCACAAAAGGTCAGTTATTAAACCACTTTTATGATTTTTTTCCCCATAAAGATGCCAAAAACCAGTGGGAGTTTCAAGTGGTTGTGCATGCTTGTTCACATAATCTACCCCCTCCATGCACCACCACCACACACACCCCCCTGCAAGAATGAGGACCATGCAGAGGAATTCTGAATGGCCATCTGGATAGATTCCTCGTCTATTGCTAACCCTCTTAGATTTCCACAAGCAGCAATGGACTCTGAGGTGAATACTTATGGACTCAACACAGGTACTGCTCTTCTCTAGCTGCTGCCTCTGTCAACAGACCACAGGCCACTCTGGCATTTTACTGCTGTTTTCTATAAACCCAGCAATGCCATACTTCCCAGAAAAGATTCATTTCACGACCAGACTGGATCTCTGAAGAAGACTTTTTCCTGCCTTGTTGCTTTTTTGGGTTGTTTAAAACCTGATCTTCTAAACAGATGTGGCAGATTTTATTTGAGGTGTAGACAACAGCACTCTGAAACTCTTACATCAAGTAAGGCAAAAACCATTAGAGTCAAATTTGAACAATCCGTTTACCTGCGTGAGAATGTAACTCCTTTGGGCTTCTTCCATTTTTATCAAACTAGCATTGATATAGTCGTTATCTTCTTGATGAAGTTTAATCCGACTATGGTCAACTGAAAGGCAAACCAGAACTCAGAGGTTAATCCTGGAGGACCCAAATGTCCACACAGGCAGTGCGCCCCATGGGGAAAAGCAAAGAAGGTGAGTTGGTGGCACTCAGGGCGCTCACACTGGCTGAGGCCAGGCTGTTTTAATTGAGATTAGTTATCAATATGGGAACAACTAGTATTTTCAGAAAGGTTTTTGGAAGTGTTTGAAACTTAACATGAAACAGCAACAGAGGCAAACTATACTAAAATACAGAATATGTCCTGTTTGGGAAATCTGTTTTTAGGCTATATCGTCTTATGATATTTGTTACTGTCCCCACAACTTGGAAGACTGGGGAAAGGGGATGTCAAGGGATCTGTTCTCTGATGCCTAATATATACTTTTAAAGGGTAAAAAATACAGTGGCTTCAATCTTTAGAAGGGAAAAAAAAATCCGCCAAAAATTCCACCCAGTCCCCAGAGCTCTAGTTGGTACAATGAGCTAAGTATGTAAGACTTATGATCACACCTCAACCTCACCTATGCCTAATGGTTCAAAGATTAAGTGGCTTAAGTATACAACAGTGTGAAAAATCATACCTTGATACGAGGTTTTTTTTTCCCGAAGTTCAAGTATAACATAAATCTCATGATCAAAGACACTTAAAAGACAGTTTAACTGGAAAAAATAAACTCTGAATCCAAAACACTGAAAGTCTATTAAATGTAACTTTCAGAAGTTTTTAAAAATAAGCTTGCGTTTGGAAGGTCTGCCCCAGGTTACTGAAAAAGCACAGCCCCCTTTTTTTCCCCTTTACCATAACTTTGTCACAAAAGCCATGTTTCCCTGAGGGCCACCTTCCTTATCCTGCTAGTGCAGCTAACAAGAGCAGGTGGGTATTTTTATTTCTGGTACAACACAATGGACGGTAAACTTAGGTGACCACCCATAAATAGTTCTCCCCCTGCCCAGTGGGAAAGGAAAAGTTAATGGGGATAAGTGGTTTGGGGCTTCCTATTCAAAAGGATTCCAAAGAGATGTTTTAGGAAATTAGCCACTGTTTGGAATAATGTTTCTCATCATAGAGGGTTAATACAAACTGAAATACTTAGGTAATATTTAAGTGGGTCATGGGGATAAGAGATCTCAAAAAAAATTATGACCGGCACTGGTGGTTATGTGAGTGGATTCAAACAGCACTGGGTGTTGACCTTGGGCAAACAACTTATTCACCAAGTGCTGGGTTTTTCACCTGCCAAATGGAAGATAATACCCAGTCCCCAGAGCTTCCACCTTGAAACGTTCTCCCCATTTCCTCCATAACCTTAAAAGAAAATCACCTTTTCTACTGAAGAGTAGAGGTAGGGGAGAAAAAGCAAAATATAAGGAGTAAGATTGGGTGAGGGTGAAAAAGTTTGGGAACTGTATCTCTCGAAGAATATTTTAAGTGCTGTTTTTTTCTCTGTAAAACTGGTTCATAAAACCATTTAGATGAGCCTTGATCAAAAATGTAGAAAAGGAATATTAAAGACATTACTGCCTAATTCAGAGCAAGTACAGCAAAGGCTAGAGACCAAGGGCATGGCCACACCGTGTGAAAGGTGCGGACAGTGATGGTTCTTTCCAGCTCAGGGCGGCTGGCCAGGGCCTCACAGCAGCATCACCTGAGGAGAGGTTGTTAGTATTATTTTTAAATAAAGCCTACGATGTGCCATAGCCTAGACGTGCTCAATCAAGAGTATTGGGCATTGGGGCAAAATCATGTGTCACTTGATCTAGACCCGCGCTTCAGATGTTCCTGGCGAGCACCTTCAGTTAGTGACCATCTCAACCGCAGCCAACATTCACGAGTGAGACACTTGGCTAAGCAGCTGACGTGACTTTATTCATCTTCGCACGATCCTGAGATCCGCGTTGACTCCTGTTTGACGATCAGAGGAGGGGGCAGCCGGCCCAAGGCCACACAGCTCTGAGGGGCAGGGACCGTGGCAGCCGTTGGAGGCAGACTGCTCTGTGCCAAGTGGGGTCCGACTTCGCGCCCCTCCCAGGGACCTGGGCGCTGCACAGTTCAGGGCGGGAGGGCAGTGAGCTTTGGCAGGCCGGCGGGAAGTGCCTGGCTGGGGACTGGCCGGCTGCATCTTCAATGTCCCTGGCAGAGAGCAGTGCCAGGGGAGCTGCTGGCAGCCACAGCCCTCACTGATTGGCAACGGCCACATGGAGGTGAGCCAGAAGGTTCTCTGTGGCCTAGAGGAGGTGGCAAAGTTCACGTCCTTCACTCCCCTCCAGGTTTTGTTACTTTATACAAATTCTAACATATTTGGTTATTTACTTTCGAGATATCAGTGGACTGAGAGCCAATTACTCAGAAGGCAGAGGAGGATGCCAGCGGGCACACTGAGAGCTAATGGCAGGAAAGAGCTCAAAAAATGATGATGGCAGCAGGGGGTGGGGTCAACAAGCAGAGCTGACTGCCGCTTTAGTTGAGGGGGTGAACCGCTCCCACCCTTTAATG